TCGTCAAACCATCAAATTCGTCGGAAACCCCGTGAACTGAATTGTATTCGTGAAGGATTTCCAGTCCACGGTCACCAGCTTTAATAACGACCCTGTTAACTTGCTAGATTATCTGAGTTCGGCCTGTTAAGGAGAAACAGCAGAAGCTAAACAGCGATGCACGGTCCTCAAGCCGCAGGAGATCCTACGTATCCCAGAATGCCGACTCGGCCGGCATGTGATTGTTAGAAGATGCATCGATGGACTGAGTGATGGTCCCCTGCTGGAAAATGTAGAAACCAAGTCCTTGGTAAAACTGGCGGATCAGTTGAAGATGCTGGTAAACAACCGCGACTGTCTGACGTACCTCTGATGGCCCGATGGCAATTTACAAATTCGTCGCCGTCATGCTGTAACTTGGCCCTACAAACCCTCATTGATCGTTACATGATAACTTATGATCCCCACGACTCCTACACCGTCAGAGGACAGCTGAAATCGGTGATATCAGGAAGAACTACGCGCCACCGTCAGACTAACCTGAAGGCCCAGGTAAGTTATGTCACAGCCACCGGATTCGATAAATCTGGAACCTACGTTCAACTTCGAATTTTCAAAAGCGGCCTGCACCAAATGTAGCCCGTCCGAGAATTATAAGTTAGCTTTACGGTACAAGACGAATCCAATTCGTAGGATAGAAATCTACTATGAAATAGCCGCATCATGTGAGCCAGGAGGGCCAAGCCGCCCGGATAGAAATTCTTGCTCTGAAACAACTGCTGTCCCTTAGGAAACGATCCAGAAACGACCATGCATTCAAGATGATTACAACAGAAACGGATACACTCCCGCCGCTGACTTTGGTATCGAGCCATATCCATTAGTGAGACAAGCCAGCATTCCTCATCTCTACCGTTCCAATCTGGCAACCGAAACGGCTCTGCACGTGATAGACATTACGTCAGTTTCTTCAGTCCTCTGCGCCAAGTCATCGCCTGTCCCGCGCGCCCCTTCGTCCACTCAGGCTCAGGGTGTGCAAACAATGCGCGAAGTGGTAGGTGCTGGGCAGGCATCCTTAATACATGCCCCAGCCAGTGGAGACGATGCTTGAATAGGGTCTTTACTAGGAAGGGGTCGGTTGTACCAAACATTCGTCTGCACGCTTGATCATTGTTGACGCGTCGCTCCCACCAAACATGGGCAATGCTACGTCAGCAGCGGGCATCAAACATAGTCAGGCGACGGATATCTCGAACTCGAAGGGGCCATGTTTCACAACCATACAGCAGTACAGGGTACATGGTGGCATTTCGCACTCGGCCTTTCAAGGAGAGACTGATGGCGTGTCGCCACCAGAGAGGCCTGAGGTTAGAGAAGGCTAGTCTGGCCTTCGAAATATACATAGATATTTCCTGTCCCAAGCCGCCATTTCCAGTAACACAACCGACCAGGTAAACAAAACTTTCTGTGATCTCCAGTCTTTTGCTGCCCAAGTAGAACGTGGATACATGCTCTCGCCAATCCTGGAGTAGCACCTTACACCTTGACGGGGCGGAGTACATTCCTTATTGAGCCTTTTCAGTTATCATGCGATTCACTACAAGTTGAACAGCCGAGATGCTAGAAGCGAACAGGACGATGTCGTCGGCGTATTCGAGATCAGTAATCATGTGCCGTGACAGGAGTTTGACACCACCACCTATGGGGCCGTAGACCGACTTATCAAGGGCATCGTCAACTGCGAACTTAGAGAAACGGTGACATAGGACACGCTTGTCTAACTCCACTGGAAACAACAAAGGGGGCGGGCAAAAGCTTACCGTAAGCAAAATGTGCACACAATAAAACAAAAAAGGAACTGCGTTTTCTCCTTGTTCCACCTCCCCCACTATGACTCCATTTACTCATTCCTCCCTGATTGTATGATGTTTTGTTTGGCACACAACCTGGAATCAGGAGCGTACGAGAATATTATATATATATATATATATATATATATATATATATATATATATATATATATATACATTCAAGATCCGCGACGACGGTATCTATTGGAACGTGACACTCAGTTACGGATGTGGTTGGTGAGAATCCCTGACCCCGGGGCTGTTGGGAGTTGAAAATGTGCAGCCGCGATCGGTAGCTAAACGCCGATGACTTTGGTGTACTCGAATGAATCGGGAACGTGGGATCAGCAATGTTGAAGTTAGACATAGTATACGAAGTTGAGCAGTAAAAAAGACACTCAACCTACGCCGATTGTGACGCTTTTCTATTTAAGAAATGACAGTATTAGGAAATTTTCAGAAAGAAAGGAGTAACTGATTGAAGATTAGCAAAAAGACCCGACTGCAGGGCTTTATGGTCTTCAGACTGCAATCATGTTGTGCACATTCCCGGATAAACCTCCTTGGCACGTAGTTGAAAGGATAGGAAGATCCTAATTATAGATAGTATAACGTGTGCCAGGCTTCCGGAGTTGAGTCCATGAGATGTACATACTACACCGGTAGGAAGGATATAGCAGTATGCCGCGATCAGATGTTCTTATATTTGCACCACCTGTAGTTATTATCTCTTATTTTTGGACAATTAATCATTTTACCAACGTTCGAGTTTTCCCGAGAGACATCAAGCAAAACCATCACCACATCCCGTATACATTCAGTTCAAATTAAAAGTGAGTTTACTCCTAGTAATGATGGGTATGGAAATATTCTGAAATTTCGTCACATATCACGTAACTTAATGTCTAAGAAACAACCGCATTCTGTACCGGACAGAAGATCAGGACGACTTACGACAGTCAACGGGACAGGGAATTAAAAGTATCGAAACGGACTTTCGCTCTGTTTAGAATCAAACTTTCCTGCCATCGCCTAGCAATAAACATTAGAGAGAAAAGAAATTTTCCACCCTTGGTTGCTTGGTCTTTACACGTGAACAGTTTATCATTACCTGCAGGTTACCTCAAAACTCCCCCACATACAGTACAGTTTACTTTGCATAAGTAATAGCCCAGAAGGTGACCGGTTAATTTGTACTCAACTAACTTTCGTTGTTTGCACTGATGATGCTGTTGAACATTCGTGGTTGACAAGGACGGTCGTGTGACTCGAATTAGCGCTTTCCCCGTCTATATCTGATAGAAGGATCGAGAACGACGTTCTTTCTCGTATCTCAGGCTTTGTAGCTTGGTTTTTGGTCTGTTCGCCGAGTTGGGCCACTGGGTTGAAACTATTTCATCATTAATTTCACCATACTATCATCATCATCATCCAAATCATCATTACCATCATAACACTGATGATATCACTACGGCTGGTGATAAAACGTTTCCAATACAGGTCGATGAACAAACCAACACTGGCGTGTCTGGGGGATGTTTTCACAAGTGTGATAGGAAAACTTCAACTAGTGCATACAGCATTATAGTTTGGGGCATACAAATTACAAGTCAAACAGTTTTTATAATCCCCTCTACGAGTCACTATGGTGAGGCCATGGATCAAAAAAATCCAATAATTAGATGCAGCTTTTAAACAAAACAGAAATGTTACGGTTAAATCAACAATGTGCCTAACCGTATTGGAATCTATGTCACGTGTTACCATATGGACTGCGTAAATATATTTTACCAACCGGTGCATAAACATCTGTGTTTCCTGGCTAACATCAAGTGTAGCGTGACACAGTGATTTTTTCGTGGAAATAAACAACTTTGTTTTCCTTTGAGCAAAAAATGTACTTTTTTATTTGATTCTGTCGGCTGGTACGGAAGTTTATGGGAAGTCATGTGACGACTATAGGTTGGTGGTTTGAAGACGATAACAACAGTCAACTCGGGAGGCTTCAATTGGACGAACTACATTGGCACATGTTCATAAATACAAACGAGAACACTGACGTATATCACTGCGATCAACAATACTTGTGTTTGCATCTGATCTGATCGATGTTTTGTGACTCTTCTAAAATGTTCAAAGAAGTGAAGTTTTCTAATCTGCTGAGTTTCATTCATATGATGTGCCAGACATGAAGTACGTGCTCACGCCCATTTAGATCTTGTTTTTTTTTCAGGTGGGCGTTAATGCAATAGACAAGGTATGCTGATAAACGCAGGAGAATACTGCATTGCGAAGGAGAACCGGAATCCATGCCGCTGATTGACAGAGTAGCGTATAAAAGTCTAAAGGACCAAGCACTGTAACAACCCGGGTGACAGTGAAATGCTGCCTACTAGCATAGTTCACCGGTTGGGAAGGGGGGGGGGGCGGGGGAGTCCACACCTTACATTAAGCTTAATGGTTAGATGATTATCTACACACTAAGTGATTTCGATATTACGGCTTGTTAACAATTCGCCATGGACAGCCATGCGGCTCCACCCATTCTCTGTGCCATGACTTATCTGGATGCCGTTTTTATCTTTCTACAAGTCCCAAATCTAGACTGACTTCCTACCGCGTAAATATCTATCGTAACTCTACGGTACCCTATTTCACACGTGTTCTTTTTAACAAGGTGAAAGTCACAACAGAACCTCGCATGAACCACGGTGACTGAACCAGTTTCTCCTCTCGGCACTTTTGAGCTTACTTCGAAGTGACAGTTGTCGGTTTACGTCCTTTTTGGGCTGCAACGTGAGCTTGTGAGCTTACTGAAATCCTCGGTAGAAAACGATGATGGAAAAGATAAGATTATGAGATGCGAGTTTGCACAAATGACTTCAAACAGTAACAATCATATCGGTTTGCTTGTGGTTAACCTGATAACAACCCCAAAGTGTTGAAAATTTCACCGATGAAAAAATCTCGTATGTACAGAAAATCGCGTTACGGTATTTCTCAAAAAAAATGGATTCGGATATAAGCCGAATCTGTTGAGCTTTATTCAGCAGGTTGGAAATTCCAAAAAAACCTGTTTCAATCTAATCACAGCCCAATAAATCTTCATAAGCCACTCCTCTCCTAACTCGGCATCAATCAAGTGTGATGACCAAAAAAAGAGAAACTTACTTGATCTTTTTGAAGCATATCCGCCTTATGTAGAATCTTCATGGCATATATGTAACCGTTGTCTTGTTTTTGCACCAAACGTACCTGTTTGTGAAACAAATATGGCATCAGTGAGTTGAGTGAGGGGAATCAGAAGTTCAAATAGCAATTATTCGATTCGAAGTGTTGAGAAAAAACAATAGGAAAATAAACTCAATTTATTGAGACGGAGCAGAGGCGCCATAACCACCGCACCGTGTTGGCCTGATACGAGCTGTTGAAAGTTCTGATATCCTATCGGGACTTAGAATTCGACTAGTACTGGGCAAGTTATTGCTTTTGCTTACCACCTTGGACTTCATAGGTTCAAATCCCGTCATCGCCGGTTATTTTGGTGGTAAACAGTAGTCCACTGTCGTTCGGCTCGTTACCACACCTGATCTATGGGAACTCTATGTGGTTCTCCACTACTCCAAGTCTCAGGGTCTGGTCGCCAAATATCCCTAGTAGTGCACTGGGCCTTTGTGGATATAAGATATACCCCTTCCACTGCACTCATGCGCAAGCATGCACCAATGAAAAAAAATCACACACGCGCACACACACACACACACACACACACACACCGCGGTCAGTTTCAAGTACCAGTTGTGACCGAGTGTGTATTTGCTGCTGCTGATGATGATGATGATCGAAAAACAAGCCAAATGAAACAACTATTTAGTGCTTTCATGAACTCTCATCGATGAGTTGAGTGTTGATATTCTGATGAATCATTATATAAACACTCTAGATCCTCTACTAGTCAAACTGAATGGTCATTTCGTTCGTCACACCCACAATTATTGGAACATTTAGATGCTTGTTAGAAATTGTGACGTTGGACTGGACGAGAGTAGAGGGTTTGGAGAACAATACACTGCAGTCTGAGTAAAATGACTAAATTTACGAAGGTCAGTCAGATAGAGCACGCTATTAGAAGTCACCGTAAGCGCTTATGCCGTTCAATATTTGCTCTTCTTTTTTTAATTGCGCGGTATGAAACTTTTCTGTCTTTTTCCAACCGTGGAGAAAATGCACAGCATTCCATATTACCTAACAGGTCGTGCATTTTCGCGTTATTAATCATTAGCTACTCACATATAACAGATCTAAAAAAAGATCTGTGTCAATAAATCTTCCCTATCCCAAATACACTGCAAGAGTTGGGGATGTGGAGCAGTTCCATCCATACAATGAAGTATCAACGAAATAGGGGCGTTTTTGTTATAATTATCCAAGAAAACTAGTGTTATTCCCAAACTGATTAGAGCAATTGAAGAAGGACTACCTTCATCACAGAATTTCGGAATCATCCACTATTTGGTTGAGTAATCCACGGGTTGGAAATTTCCAGGCTCGATGAGATTCAAACCTCGGACCGCACGCAACCTGCGATCTACAGGCTGGTCTTCCAAGTCACACAAGAGATTTGTGAACTCCAAAATGGATCCCATTAGTTTAGTTAAACTCCCCACTAACTTTACAGTAAGTCTGCTGAAGGTTTCTGGGTGTATCATACTTCGCGCCTACCCACAATCTCTGTCTTCCTTGATCTGAAAGCAGTGTTCGATCCGGTCTACCACACAATTCTCAGGCGCTGCCTCTCATTGAAGAGCGTCAGAAATATTTATTTCTCTTTCCCAATCATTGTATGCAAACAGCCGAAGTGGAGTTCGTGCTTATGGCGATCCTCCACCCGAGTTCACCACGGAAACTGATGTTCGTCAGGGTAGCCTTCTTTCGGCCTTTCTCTTCAGTTTTGAAATTGAATTGATTTTCGAGATAGCCCCATCCTCGTGTAAGAATAAAGGAATCGATCTCCGCCCAAGCAGTAAACTGTCTGACTGACTTGTAATACGCACACGATGTCATTCTTCTGACTGAAGTTGCCAGCTTTCCTAGAGCCTAAACGACAGTGCAGCAATGTTTGGGATTCGTTTTGCACCTTTAAATTGCAGAATGCTGCTGCAGGACTGGATTGGCTCCACACCAAACCTTGTCTAGGCAGAAGCTCTAGCTGAAGCAGATAAGTTTTGTTACCTGGACAGTTTCGTCTTATCTGGTGGACAGATATCGGATGAAGCGTCACAGCGTATACGGAAGGCGCATTTGGCTTTAGATAACCTCAGCTATTTGTGGCGCCGGCGTGACATTCGACTGTTTGTCAAGATTCGAGTGCACACTGCCGCAGTTTGATCCGTTCCCTTATACGGCTCCGAAACATGGTTGTTAAGGATGAAAGGTAGGTGAGAAGTGTCGGTGTTCAAGCATCGATCTCTTCGTGGCATTGCTCGAATATAGTGGAAATATCGTATTAACAATGCTGAGGTTAGACGTAGGGTGTTGAGAACCAATGGTCAGTCTGTGGATCAAGTACCATATCTCAACAGGTTAAGATGGCTGGGACATGTGTTACGCATGCCCACCAGTAGACTTCTTCGAAGAACAGCGTACTCCGAGGCAGGTAGTGGTTGGAAAGTAGGCCGAGGTGGTTAGTCCACGACAAGGCAGAAAGGTATGAAATCTTTGACCAGCGGACTTGGGCGAGTAGGACGTGTTAGACTTTCGGGTTGGGATTCACGGGACCCCCCTACCAGATGGCTGGAGACTTTAAGTAATATGGCTAGGTGTCGCGGTCAGTGGCGTAGATTCATTTGAACTCTCCCCTTGTTTTCATGATTCCGGCTTCTTCCTCTGCTTTTGGCTGTTTTTCACTTAATGTTTCTATTTTTATGGTCCTTGACTCGACGATGCTGAAAGCTAACAACCGAAACCAAAGCATAGAAGTGCAAGGTCACTGGTTGGACGAACTGAACTGAGAGACATGGTACCAATCAGTAAGACCTGTGATGGTTGAGAGATTTAGAGCGTCTACATACTACCTAGAAAATCAGAGATCCGAATCCTACCACCACCGGTTATTTTGGTGGTAAACAGTAGTCCACTGTCGTTCGGCTCGTTATCACACCTGATCTATGGGAACTCTATGTGGTTCTCCACCACTCCAAGTCTCAGGGTCTGGTCGCCAAATATCCCTAGTAGTGCACTAGGCCTTTGTGGATATAAAATATACCCCCTTCCGCTGCATCCATGAGGAAGCACTGTTTTTTTTTTCAATTTGTAAACTGTCTTATAAATCAACAGAGGATGATGTTTATAAGCTTATTTTTCAGCCAATTTTGATGAGACCGCAAATCAGCGGAACAATATTTATCCTTACCTGAGTCGAGCTGCATGCGTGAATGTACCGAACACGAGCATACAGTAGTGAAAGTGGCTCTAACGTTGAGAGAACAACCGCTAATCGGTTACCGCTAGAGTGATCACCAGGTCTTGGACCAAGAGTGGGTAATCGAAGAGCTGAAATCATGCTATTTAATTTCTACCTACACAAAACAGTGACATTTCCCCATTGGGACTGCTGAACTCAAATGTAGAAATCATCATCTTGATTAGTCAGTGCAGTTACTTCCAATTTGTGTGTTCAGTCGCGCATCCTACCTGCCTGTATATGCTGCTTTTTTGGTTGCCTTCCATTTTCCTCATTATATCACTTTAAATTACTTTTGGAGGACTGACAGAGATTTTGTTTTCCTCTCCTTTTCTTTTTTATGCTTCTACTAATGTTTTACAGATTCTGTTATATTCACTCGAACTTAATCGCCAAGCTGAGATTCGGTTGTTGGCCTTTAATTAGAAACTGCTATAATTTGTTTTCTCTGGGTATTCGAATAACATCTATTTTTGGCGCACACCCATCTCCCTGCCATTGCATGCAAAATTTGCTTGTCAGTCGCTTCGAATGGCATGTGCTTGTTTAGTGACAAAATCGTATTGCTCAAATGTTTTTGTTTTACTATTTATGTCCACTTAATAGTACCGCAGACTGTTAGATCAACCGGAGTCCTTTATTAGGATCCGTAACTATCTACTGCTCAAAGCATGTTGACACTAAAAAGAACGAGTAGTGAAAAAATTACATTCTATCGTAAGTGATGTCAACTGCATTCAAATCAAAACAAGGTTTTGATCGCTACTTGTCGCTTCAGTCGATTCACTGAAAGGATGCTTCGTCAGTCAGTAACCGGATCAACAAGACAACGTTAGTGTCATACACACTGTGGGAAGTCTCATACAAACTAAGTCCAACTGTTTTATGCTGTTACGTAAATTTCAGATTGTTCTTTCATTCTACCCAAATTCCTTGTCGCTTTTATAAAGCTTAGAAATTTCGCCCACCTTGATCATGCACCTACGCGTGTATCTCAACTACAATCGAGAAATAATCTTCGATTCGTTTCTAACCAGTGTGTGTAAACAGTAACGATTATAGTCCCATTCTCTGTGCCCTCCCTTTGTAAAAGGTTCAAAATTTTCTAATGCCATCAGAACTCCTGTACACACTGATTATGCGCCGTTGCATGTGTCTCGGAGAAATCTGATAAATATACCATTGTTATTACTATTATTACTGTATTCAGATATTATCCAGTTAAAGATGAGAAATAGGAACACGTGGCAATCAGACTTCGGGATGTGGTGAGTTTTCATGGTTGACCGCCGTAAACTCCACGGAGATTGACATAGACCCCATACTATGTAAACTACCCTCGAGTTAAAATAACTTATGAAAGAAAAAGGCCTAACAAATCCTTACAGTAGGGATAAATAACGTTACATGTTGTCTGTAAAACAATTTTTCGAACGAAAACACATCACACGACGACCAGAGATTTAAGATAAGAAATAGTAGTATGAAACCGGCTTTTTGTATTAGGTATTCCATGTTCTTTATTTGCGAAATTTGAGTGCTCCATCTAAAAACATGCTTCAATACACACTTCACACGACCAACTGATAAATCTCGTAAAGTCCAACGACAACAAGAGAATCAAACGGAATCCACTAAACCAACGTGAGAAATTATTATCCAGTTATCTCATCACTCATTTACCACGCGCTAGCGACAGAGTGAAAGACGAGCAGACATTACAGAACTGTTACGATGACGACGCAAATGGACAGATAGTGGGGAAAAACTCCAGTCGACGTTCAACAACTGAGGCCCAGCGGCAACTAGTGCCTACGTATGTGCGCAAAACGGTTTGTTTCGAATTGGAAAAACATACTGACCCACCACGTATCAAACTTTTCACCTCATATCCGTAAACAGACAGGGAACAAAATCATGCAAGCAAAAGCCATCACTAACTGGAGACTACGAACACTAGAGGGAGCACTGAAGATAAATCATGGGGAGGTGGAACACACAAAATGCTATGACTAGCACACGTGGCAATGCAAAATATTTCGAGGATGATTAAAGAGCGCGTTTCAGTGGAATTGTACTATACTCAAAGCGTCCATAGTAAAGCAAACATACAAAGACTGTCCGTTAAACTCGGGGTATGGCCACAACGGAAGAACTCTCTTCAAGTTGTGCATCAGCACACAATTGGTCACATCAGTTACGATAGACTTCATCAATCGCTCTATTACTAACGATGTTCAGAAATTTCGGAGGAGCTGAGCCAGACTGAAGGAGTTGCAACTATAACATCAAGCAATAAAGTGTTTTTTGTTATGGAGCTGGATCCACTCCAGTCAACTAAGCCCTACCGCCCACAACCATCCTTCATTTATAAACCTTGAAAAGCATACAGATGGGCATAGAATGGCAAATTATAGGCTAAACTCATTAGAAGAATCACAACAGACTACCGTACACATCGTTTGGAAGGTAGTCATGCTTTTTTCATCCGCAGACAGGATTTCGTGGGTCGTAGCAAGGTACTTTTGCTAGACCACTGAATCGAATAGTTTGGCCGATGAGAACAGAGGACTATTTCTTATGCGTATTCTTCGCCCTTTAAAATAAATCAAGTACAACTGTTCTAAGACATGTAGCGCATTGATGACGACGAGGAAGAGGATGGATTGTCGTAAATATCAAAATGAGTCCCTAAGCCCTTAGAAATGTCATAAAAACAATAAGTTGCGACAAACAGAGAAGGAAGTAAAGAGAGGAGTAGAGGCAGAGACGCAACGTGAGCTCGACATCAATGAAGCACGTGAACAAGTGTGCCCCTAGACAGGGGTCTGTTTTGTTATGAAAAATTCGAAATTTATGTTGTACAAAGTTTCGCACGTTTATCCATTTCGTTTTACGAAACATTTCATAAACGGTTCTCTTTACACTTTACCTAATGTACTCCATTCACTGAACGACTAAACCGTGGCAATCCCATTGCCTTCTCAATCATTCCTACACTGAAGTTTCCGTTGCGAATCTAAGTGTCACATATGGTGACAAGAATCAACAAGACAGAAAAGTACTTGATCTGACCATCCCTTCAGTATATTAAGTACCGGGTAAACAACGATAAACCGGCGCTCGTGGGGTTATATACATACACACACGCGCGTACATGTATGCGTGTGTGAAATGAAACCAACCAAGTCTCCTCTATTGCCCAATCCTTGTATTCTATTTCTGTCGAGGATTGTCGAGGCTAAAGTGCAATAAAATGACCGCTTCTGAAACAAAACAGAAGCGTGTGATGCGCATATGCACATGCATCGGACCACTTTTATCACACGACCTTGTCATGGAACTAGTGTTTAACCCAGAAAAGTTTACACAACGCGAAAAACGTCCGAGTCACCTGATCGTGTGACAGTAGAAAATCAACCGGTGTTTACTGAACGATTTTGGGTGACTGACAGCCTAGATTACAAATAACTGAATACTATTGGATTCGTTTTGCCGATTTGTTCTCGCTAATGATTCACAAGGCTCAACTCCAATAACCAGCCGAACTACAAGTGAAGTTTGACGATCAAGAAGTTTTGTTTGAATGAGAAAAAAAAATCCCGTTCCGAGAAAGTGTATATATTCAGCCTGAACGCGCTTCACAATGAAGATGCACACTTGTCATCATGCATGCACAGTACTTAGTGAGTATCGTTTCCAACAATAAACCTGAACGAAAACGTCAATCCGGTGTGAGTTGCATAGGCACATAACAGAAATAAATTTGTATAGACTTTCTTAACGTGCAATACACGGTGAGTAATGGTTACAAGAATTGACCAGACCATTGAATGGAAGAACGGTTACAAAAACCAAATAGACTGTTAGGCTTCCCGGATGGAACTCAATAGATTTACCTACTCAATGATTAGCGACACTCCATTCACACTGTTGCATGACCTACTTGGAAATGCATTTTGTTGCCCTCTCTCCTCCCTCGTTCTATGCTCCAAATATTTTGGATTAGATAGGTTTTTTTCCGAGATGGCAACCAGAGCCGTCGCAATTAGTGTTTTTGACGAAAAACAGGATTATGGGCCAAGCGAATACCTAACTAGCCAGCACAGCCAACACTCGAGCAGCACGAAATTTATTCCCGTCATGAATTTGGACCATAAAATTAATCCGGCGCATCTATTTCGGATCGGAACATTAAGATTTTACCTTTTATCGAAGCGAGGGTTGGTCAATAAGCGCAAAACCCACCATGTGCATAGTTATCTGCCCTTGTTCTGTTTGACTGAATGGTGCCAATTCGGGCCTCAACTAATTGTCCTCAAACTGTTCCAACTTAACGCATGACATTTTGTTATTTATATGGAGGAATTTTTTTGAAGTTGGTCAAATCGACCAGAAGCGGTTATCGAAGACGGACACTGATATTTATGGCCAATTAAACATGAAGAATCCACAGAAGACTTTTGATACATGTCATATCAATCAACAGCATCTTGACCAAAAAAGCTAGTGCACAAAAATCAATCTACACGTTAGGTAACCAATTTGTTACCTCGAGAGCAGAAGACCAGGAGTACTGGTCCCAAATTTAAGTTAGAAAGATCTGGAAAATGGACACTTTGCCACTACCAAAGATTGTCACTGGTAATAACATATGGTTTTGTTAATCTAATAGAGGAACGAAATGTTCATCTTTGAGTTGGACTTCGAAAGGGGTATCCCTACTGTTGAAAAGGGAAAACCTTCAGCTGTGGAGAGAAACTCGGACTTATTACCGAAAAAATTTCATTTAAGTGGAACGATTTGTCCAATCGCATCGAAGCTTCAAATTTCCCAAAAAGAATACGTTATAAATTTACAATTTTAAACTTTCCTCACTGACTGGATATAACTTTCATCTTAGGCAAACAGATCACAACATCGTGGATGGAAATTAATATGGTATGGTAAAATGTCTCATTTACGCCTCAAAAAACCATCAGCTCAAGTAATGAGATGGAGATTGCCAGTGTTGATGAGACTACAAGGTCACGTGTCTTGCCCTGATTCACATAATATAAAGAGGCGAATTTGGACTCCACAACCGACAAATTTCAATTACAAATTAGAAATAGCCGTCGCGGAAAAAGACTTGCAGCTGCTGAGTCGTCGGAACGACCACGTGCATCACAGTCGACATCCAATACAACTCAACATTCCATTGAACAGGGGTTTGTTCGATTCTCAATCAGAACTGTACGATTCAGAAGAGAACTATACCACTAAACAAAGGATTACCGTGATTCCATATGAGATGAAAATAGTGACACTCACCTCACCAAATGCTCCTTTCCCAATTATTTTCAACGGAATAAAATCCTCCACAGTTAGTCGAGCACGTTTCAACCGTAAGAACTCGCTCTCCTTCAACGCGTGTTGAGACCGTTTCATTTGCTTCTATTCGTGTCCAAGAAAGAACGGATTCGATGATATTTCAAAGTATCAGGTGACCAAATGATGGGAGAGAGTGATGGGCAAATAAGAAACAGTAATAAACATGAATCTGCCATAGTACATTGATAAAAAAGATGAAACTAATGAATCATCGAGAATTCCTTAGGACAGACGAACTTTTATTCGACAAAAGCAACAGTAAAATCCCACCGGAAATCATAAAGAGTACTCGGTAGAACAAGTATTCAAACGGTAACAGACTAAAGACCATCAAAGCTTGCTGGGATAAACTATATTAAACAACTTATTTGGTCAGACGGCTTGGCAAGTAGAGCATGATGGGTGAGTGTATACAGTTCATAAAATCGGAGGTAAGCAGTGATTCAGTGGGATGTCTACGACTTAACTCAATATCGACAGGTTAAGTGGTCTCCATTGTCTCAGACAGACGTATAGGACAATCCCGGGTCACGTGTGGGATGGGTTCCGGGATATAAGGGGGTTTGGTGAACACGAAAAGTAGACAAAAGGTAACAAACTTAACGTGAACAGAGATTTCCTTTTTGATGTACACATATACACATACACACACATACACACATACACAGAGAGAGGATCGAAGCGACTAAGGCACGGATAATAACGAGCCATGTTCCATAAACTTAATGGTCATCCAGGGTAGGAAGTAAATGTTGACTCACATCATGCCACATCACACACTACTATCATGCACCTTTCTCAAAGGGTATAACCATAATGATTCATGCGCACTGGGAAAACATCCTGATTTTAAGAGGGGATAGACGAGCTCTTAAGTCAAGTCCTCTGAAGTTAGGGATTAGGAACACGCGATAGAGGCAAAGAACTATGGTGAACTGCCGTATTATTCAGTCGGAAGGCACTTGAATCAAATTGCTGAAGATAGCCACATTTGCGCATAGAAAAACATCCATGCAGTAACTAGGAAAGCAAGACGCTGGGAATAATATAGATGTAAAGTCGGAAGTGGTATATCCCTCCACTCCTACTTCGGAATGGCTTTTTCGTATTCACTCATGCCCGATGAAACCCCATACTGAGGCTTCACTAGTGAAACCAGTCTACTATTTTGATAATCAGCAGGAACTAACCTTTGAAACAAAAAATTCATCCCCACAACAATAACAACAAAAAGGGGTAGGGAGTGCGAACAACAGAGGGGTACGAAAATGCGGACAACATTCCATGACATACAATTAGCTTTACTTGTCCCTATTTATCGACACAATCAATTCTAAAAATGGTATAAATCAAAGTAAAAGGACAGAAAGTAAAAAGGTACGAAGAGAAAACCACGTGGGGGAACGCAGGTGTCCGATGGAGCGCACAAATGGATAGTTTACTATGCCTTCAACCAACATGTAAATGGATCTCGTGTACCCTAACTTTGTGTCACTTGCTCCTGCAACAAGATAAGCGAGCTTCATGCATGTTCCGAATGGCACCCGCTCATGAGTGACAATCGGATGCGAGACCTGAGCACAGGGAAATCCAGTTCTGCTTCCAGTTGCGAACATTGTAGACAGACTGGAGTCCTAGTCACTCAAAGTCCGATTTGACCGCACTGGCCCATGTTTTCAGCTGTCATCCCAGGCGAAAACGCCATTCTGGATACGGAACAGGAGAGGGACACTGTTCTGAGATATTCGTGTCTGGACGTCGCAGAACATGCCCAAACCACTGTAATCGTCAGCGTTAGAGGAACACTGAAAGCTTTTCGATTTCGAAGCACTGTTTTCTTATTGTCCCGTTTGAGTTTTTCGTGCCAAGCCACTTTCAGTACCCGTCTCAGACACCAATGGTCAAACACTTCCAGCTTTCTAATGTCCTCCATGCGTAGTGACCACGTCTCACATCCGTAGGTCAGTATTGGACAGACAGTGACCCGGAAGACACGGAATTTGTTCCTAAGGTTGATTTCGTTGCGCTCAGAGGACATTACGAAACTAGAGGGACGCTATCCTGGCATTGTCAATACGCAACTTGACTTCGTCTTTGGCTTGACCGTTCGGGAGAATCGTGTGGCCCAGATACTCGAACTCCAGGACGTGTTTAATTTGTTCGCCGTTCAAGTACATCGGGAGAATGGACTGTGTAGTGCATGTCGAAAGGATCTTAGTCTTCGATGTATTGATCTCTAGTCCCATGGATTTTGCAGAAGATTCTACGCGATTGAAAACAGACTGTAAAACAGCTGAGCTATCTCAGAGGATGATGTCGTCTTCGAATTCTAGATCGGCGAAGAAAGCATCGGTACCCAGCTGAAAACCATGGTAATCAGTGTGCACCTGACACACTATCCAATCGATGGTGTACTTGAACAGCACTGACGGCGAAGGACAGCCTTGCCCAACACCGGAATTGAGGGAGAAGTCACTGGACTTCTCTCCGTAGATGCGTATTCATACATGCGTATTTACACAGTACGACTTCATGAGACTGACAAGTTTCTGAGGCATTCCACCTCCTTGCAGTAAAGTCCACAGCGATTCTCTGTCAACTGAGTCAAAGACAGCCCGAAAATCAATAAAACAATCTGCAGTCGGTTGCTAAAATCTGTACCGATGTTCTAAGACTCTGTGGAGGTTTAATATTTCGTCCACGCACCCTCTTCCACGGCGAAAGCCTCTTCAATCAGGGCAAGTGCGCGCGTCTCACACCGCTAAGAAGCGGTTCAACAAAAGCAGAGAATATTTTGGCGGCCATGTCGATTAAACTGACGCCACGGCAGTTTGCGCACACAATCCTGTCACCCTTCTTTCAAAGAGAGAGTAATACTGAAGTCCTCCAGACTACTTGGATTTTTTTCCAGATTGAGCAAAACAGAGTGCAGTGGCTCGACCAATGTCGAAAAACAATTTTCATTTATCCGGTGTGTCGCCATCTTCTCCAGAGGTTCTCCGGTTGCTCGGCTTCCGCATTACATCAGCGAAATCATCTCGGCTTGGTAAGCTGCTACTGCCGTCATAAATCTCGCTCTGGATTGCTGGTATTCGATTACAGTTCTTGGAGCCGGACGGTGCAGCAAACAATCGAAATGTTCGGTCTATCACAGCTTCGTTTTAGCCAGTTCAGAAATAAGCAGTCCCGAAGCGTCGTAAGGCATGAGTCCTGCCGATCATCACTTACCGGATGCAGGGCGGATTAGATGAAAGAGCTTTGATAATTCCCAACGTTCAGTCACAGTCTCCATGGTTTCCGTGATTTCAGTGCAGTAGTTGATGAGGGCCCTTTTAGCCGAACACGTGGCTTTCTGTCGGATGTCAGCTCAGTATGGGAAAACAATTAAATTATTCATGACAAAGAACAGTGGGTCGACCGCTGGGCCGAATACTTCAAGGAGCAGTTTAGCTGGGCACGCGCTAATGTAGTTACTTCTGTATAAAAAACTGCGATTCCTTGGGGAGCATCACTTGAGCTCCCATCGGAAATTGAAGTGGAGTCATCCATTCGATTACTAAGGCGTAGGAAAGCGGTCGGTCTCGACGAACTTTTTCCAGTTATTTTCAAAATGGCTGGTGGTGCGTTGATAAAATCACTCCCCACCTTGGTCCGTGACGTTTGGAAAGAGTAACGTATTCCGGGATTATGGGGCGAGTCACTGGTTGTACCCATCTTCAAGAAGAAATAATCAATGATTGCAGTAATCATCATGAAATCAGTTTAGTTCCGATAATCAAGGTAACGGTCTCAATTTTGTTGTGCCGTTTAACACCACCTCACGAGAAAAACGCCCACGAACAACAGGCCGGACTTCGCCCAGGTCGAGGGTGCATCGACCAGATTTTTACTCCTCGTCAATTACTCGAAACGCATCGTACATACTGCCGACCGACAATAATGGTTTTCCTCGACTTAAAAGACGCCTTCGATTCAGTTGACCGAACAGCGCTATTCAGTGCTCTTCACCAAAACGGTATGCCACAGAATTTCGTGAGTCTTCTGAGATCATTGTACTCTCATCTTTCTGACCGTGTAGTGATTTACGGTGAACTATCCAGTCTATTCGAAACAACCAGTGGTGTTCGACAAGGATGTTCCATTCCTCCATTCCTGTTCAACTTCGTCATGGATGAGATAATGGAGAATGCCTTGCAAAATCTTCAGGATGTCGACATCGAACCAGGAAACAGTGAAAAACTGCGTAACCTAAATTATGCTGACGACCTTGTTTACTTGTTCAAATGCACGGAACACGCGCAACGTGCACTCGATAGACTCGCAAGAGCTGTAGTTTCACTCGGCATGCACTTTGCACCTTCAAAGTGTACAGCAGTGTTGCAAGATTGAACGTCAACGGTTCCGAGCTTGATGCTCGACAGGTGCTGGCAGTTGTCGATCGCCTCACTTACCTCGGCAGCAGCGTGACGACGGGTGGGAGCACGCGTATATCCGAGGTTCTATCTGCTTACGCTGGACTAAAGCACTTGTGGCGCCGATCTGATAGTTCGCTGAAGCTGAAAAGTCCTGTGTACTGTGCCGCGGTGCGTTTAGTCTCGTTGTATAGTTGCGAGACTTGGGGTCTGCGTGCGTAAGATGCTCGTCGCCTTGAGGTTTTCGACCACCGAAGTTTGCATAAAATCGCTGAGACTGGATGGAATGACCGAGTAAGCAATGTTGAGGTCATGAATCGAGTATTGGGTATCAGTTCAGAGAATGTTCTATCACTGCCTATCCAGCTTAGTAGACTTCGTTGGTTGGGGCACGTGTTGCGTATGACAAAACACACGTCTACCGTACCGTGCCCTGTTTTCCATTCCTCATCGGGAGTGGAGTGAATCACGTGGAGGTCAACAAATGACGTGACTACGGGGAATGAGAAAATGTACAGCGAACTAGGGAAAAGTAGGTTCTTCACGTCTTTGTGGTTGGGGTCCAAAAGATTCCTCAACCAGTTGGCTGGAAACACTGAGGGATATGGCAACCAACGGTGAACAGTGGCGATCGTGTTGTCACTTTCTGTC